GGTATGTGTGTGTGTGTTTGTTTATTTTTTGAGTGGATAATGTTAACATAGGTTATTTCCTCATACAGTTGCTTTTTATAAGCTTTATAAGTGTAAATGACCTGATATAAAAAATAATTTTACATAAAGCTTTGTGTATGTAAACGTGGCTGTCCTGCTAAGTGAAGTACATTCCTTTTCTAAGGAATACATTGTATCCTTCTGGACACACGTAATTATTACCAACCTTTGTAGAGTTCTAGGTTGTTTTCACAGTGGAATAATTGCCTTACGGTCACAAAGCTGAGATTCCTTGGAAGCCCATTCCCCGATGCCATGCTGCTCATTTTAATAAGCTGAGTACCGCCATTTGGGTGGATTATTTTTATCTGAGGATCAGCACAACCAGGTTCTGGTCCGAGAATTAAATATTAATATTATTTTAATTTCTGATGTAAATCTGTAATAATTTCATTTGCTTATTTAGTGGAGAACATTGCAAGTAGTTAGAACTTTCACTGTGGAATAAGTTACTCATGACCGTATTTAGACATAGAAGATACATGTTTTATTATATCATAACTGGAAGGGTGAAAAATTTGACATTTTCCATTTAATTAGGTCATCATTCTATAAAAAGTCAGAACTAAAGTGTAATAAAAAGAATGTATACAGTGTAACCCATTTAGCCATTTTGGACTCATCAGGAGGGCATGTGTTTGAGTTGGGAGTTTAATGATAGAGGATTTTCAATCTTGCCTAGTCACCACCCCCTCCACCCCCCCCTTTTAAACCAGTTAAGATGCCCAACTGAGAGTATAGATTTATTATGGTCTTTAAAACTGATTGCACTTGATCACAAATCAGCCAGGAAGGTGTTTGTATTTAATATTAATTGTACAATTAATTGTATTACTCTGACTAGTACCTCCGACTGTACAAGAAGGATGAGACTTGCTTAGAGGAGCTTATAACTGATTGCTAAATGTAAAATTTCAGTCATGGACTTACTTGTGTTAACTAATTGAACAAGTCTGTCTATAGTTGCATTTCATCCTCACACTGAAGCAACATTTTATTGTTTGAGTGGAATTCTACTTCATCTCGTACCATATTAACTGCAATATTAAGCAGTCGGCGGATACCACTTCCTTTTTTGAGCTTCTTTTCTTAGCCCAGTACCTACTTAGGCACGTGCACATGTGTGTACACCTACCTCTACCTCTGCTTTTCTTTTTGAAGCTGATGCCTTCTGTATTCAAGTAACCAGTAACCAGAGCGCAGAGTTGATTAGGGAGTTAAAATAGCGGAACAATATACTGGTAAACGTTTACTTCTGTGCCTTCTGTGACCATTTTTTAAGATTTTAAAATAATGGAAGGTTGAAATTAACTTTCTTTGACTTCCTTTTCCCTTTGACTTGCTTTTTTCATAGACGATTTATCTTACTCTATATGTAATGCTTGGGACATAGGACTTAGGTACTCAGTAAATGTTGGAGCACTATTGACTTTTTGTAACTGGTACAATAAGGTATAATTTTGACTCAGTCTGATTGTATAGTACTAGGTCTGTAAGGTTGTATTTTTTCATGAAGTATGTAGTTTCCTGTGAAATCAAAAATCTCATTTTGTTTTGGAATCCATTTGGCTGTTTCTTACAGTATAATCTTTTCATTTATTCATGTTTCTAAAATAAGTGAAGCTCCAGTTAGGCACCGTCTGCAATGTAGGAAACACAAGAATGGATGAGACAAGAGATGGTCCTGCCTCCTTCAAGGAGCTTATAGTTTTCCTGTTTTCCTGTCGGGGCAGATATTAAAGGATAATGATTTACTTAGAGTTGTGACTAGTTTTACAAGGAAAAATGCAATGTGTATTGAGCACACAGCATGATATGGGATCCGGACCTTGCCTTTGGTATGTGGAAAGTAACATTTAAGCTGGGACTTAAGATCTGAGGCAGCAGTTGCGGGGAGGGGGTGCTGCGCATGTCTGCGTGTGTCCTGCTCACAGAGGTACACACAGCAGCAAGCTGTGTTGAGTGCTTGGGGTGACCTGACTTAGCATATTTTAAAATCACGCTAACTTGCAATGCTTTATTTATCTCCTTAATTATTTTAATGAATCTGGAAGAACAAAGAAATGGTTTTTTGAGGGCAGTTATTTTTATGTATAGAAATAGCTTTAGATGACAAGGCCTCCTTTCACTGTATGGGAAAATGCCATGTCTTAGAACTATTTTTATGGATTGCCTGTCGGTCACAGAGTCTGAGTTGGCCAAGAATTTCTGTTGGAGAAAATTGAAACTATTGTAAAGTATTTAATCATTTACAGATATTTTCTAGTCTAATGAGACTTTTTCCAGTCATTCACCTTTAAGTGTAAATTATAGAGATGTTATTTGGAATGCTAAGATCCTTTTCCCAGAGGGTTTAAGAAAACTTAATATTGAGGAGTCTTAAATTAAGCTTATCTCGAACTTGAAGCCTCAGCTTCAACAACAGGTTTGCTAATGGGCCTGCTGTGTCACTGTTCAACCGAGAAATCAGGGACAGATGTTTTAAACCCGTTTCACAGGATTTATGAGCAATTGCAGAATACCTTATGGAGGCATATTTAATCTGGTAATGATCTTGATTAGAAAAAGGATGGATCTGGAAATTTTAAATTCTGAAGCTGAGGATTCTATCCCCAGAAAACTCTTTGGTTATTATCTAGTGCTTTTTCTTAACTTACTTCGTAATATATTTACCGGTAAAATGGAGTTAAACTTGATTCCTACTTTGCTGTTTTGAGAATTGCTAAATTTATATTCTTGGTCTGTAAGTTTGTACTATTATAAATGCAAGTTATTTTAAAAATAGTTTTAAACACTGATATTCAAAGCAAAGTTATGTGCTATTGTAATTACAAAGGACCAAAAAGACTTTCTTGACCACAGGGGTGATCAAGTGTTGGAATAAACTGCAGGCAAAGTTGTGTAACCTCCATTCCTCAAATAACATCTTAAAATTGGATCACCAGTTACTGAAGTGCTGCCTATTTTCTTAAACTTTTATGAGTAAACATATCTGTTGTTGTCCATATGCATTGATTGGATATAGGTTGAAGTCCTAGCTCTGCCACTTACCAGGGAGATGACCTTGGGCGAGTCCCTTAAGCCTGTCTGAACCTCAGTTTCCTCTGGGTTGTTAAGAGGATTAAGGGACATTAAATGAAATGGTGTATGTAAGGAGAAAATTGGTACATAATTAGTGTGCTTTTTTCCTTCTAAGTCTACTTCAGTAAATAAATACTGTAGCCTCATTGCTGTGGATGCTTTTATTTTTATTTTTTAAACATTTTTCTTATTCCAAGGGGAGTAGTGTGGAACAAACTGTTTTGAAGCTAGAGAGCCCTCTGTGTCTTCCTTTCAAAGTTGTTGCTGTTTTGCATTTAACTTAGTTGTTTGTAGCCGTTGCTATTTTAAACAGTTTTGAATTAAGTGATGTTTTTGAGATGTGTTCTGCCTGGTGTGGTCATGTGATGTGCACATAACATAGAGTGTTCTACAGGTTATGAGAGCAGTGGTCACTTCTTTGGAACTGCTTGTATTTTTAGGTTCTCTCTTAGTAACAGTCAAGCTTATAACCCTCAGCATGTGAGATGAACTCTGTCTAGTTGTTGCAAAATAAGAAAGCTACAGCTGTTTTCACAATCTAATCACTCCATGACATTTGCCTTACTTAATTCTTACTAACATTTCTCTTTGAACATCTGCTTAATTTACAAATGTTTGTCATCTTTAGTCTGTCGTTTCTTCTATTATGACTCTTTTAGCATGTCTGTGTTTAACTTATAGGTTCTGTCTTAACCTATAAAATGTATGGGGATAAACATTCAGAAGTATTTGTAATTTTTAAACACAATTAAAAAATACAGTTTGGTTGTTAAATGCATGCCTTGTTCTCCCCACCTCCTCCCTGCCCCCCAGCATCAGTAAGTGCCATAATACCAACTCAGAACTGTTCTACTTAATCAGTAGAGCTCTATCAATATGAGGTAGACTTTTGTTATTGTTTGAGGAAAATCAACCCTGGACTGGACAAAAATAAATAGCAATTTCGGGATTAATTAGTTTACATTAGCCACCTGAAACCCAGATAGCATTTATGGAAAAATATGTCAGAGAGCTAGTAATCTTTTATGCAGTGAAGTGAAGAAAATAGGCTAAGAATCGACTTCTTACCCAGAAAAGTATTACCTATTACAGCGTAATTTAATTTGGGAGATGTTGAGATGAGTTGCTTGTCCCATATGGAGGTAGAGATGTATAATAAGTAATTGGCTGTAGAGATCTGAAGTCTGGGAGAAGGATCTGGGCAAGAGGTAAGTTTTCAGCATATGGGTGGTAATTGAAGCTTTTGAGAAATTGAGAGCACCCAGAGAGAATGAATAGAATGAGCAAGAAGTGACATGATCCCTGGAGAAGAGGAATATTTTAGAAAAAGAGATTAAGGAATAACCAAAAAGGTAGGGAGAAAACCAGGGAAATGTATCCTCGTGAGGAAAGACAAATAGTTCAAAAAGGAGGGGATAGTCAGAATAATGAAGTAAATGGCCAAGGAGATGAGGTCTGGAAAAAATGCCCTTTGGTTTTAGCACCAAGGGTCTCAGAGCAGTTTTAATGACTGTTGGCTAAAAGAAAGCCAGATTACAGGGCTGAAGAGTATATGGGAGGTATGAAAGGTTGTTTTTTTTTAAATTGTTTTTTGTTTTTCTTCTGGAAGCTTGACTAGGAAAAAAGAATAGTAGTAGAAAGGAGATATTGTTTTATTATTTAGGTTTTTAAAGATGAAATAGTTTTTTAAGTTTTTACTGCTCATAGGGACAAGCCAATAAAGAAGTTTAAGATTATAGACAAAGATACATCGAATAGGATTAATACTTATAATTAAATCAGTATATTGTGCTGATGCTTTCTCTATTTTTGTATAAAATTTTTCTTGATAAAAGGAAAGATCATTAGGTATCTGTAAACCCCTTCTCTTATTTTATAGATACTGTTTCTCAGCTCAAATCCTTAGTGAATTTCTGTTACCTGAAGTCTGGACTCCTTAGAGTAGTATATAGTACAGTCCTCATGATGTGCTTTATTTCTATCATCCTGCCCCATGTCTCACAGCTACCTAGCATTTCACCTTGTGATCCAGCAATACTGGGAAACTTGAGGTTCCCTGAATGTGTTTTGCCACTTCTTGTTTTTCTCCATTTACATATGTTGATACTTCAGCGCTGAATACTTCCCTCCCTTTCCAATTCTCCCCTCCTATGCTTAAGATTTCCCATCTTTGAAGACTACTGTGACTTCTTCTCTAGCCCCTACCCATAGTGAAAATTATCTTCTCTGTGTTACCATTTTACTTCTGTCAGATTGATCACATAATAATGTGACGTGAGTTTTACTGTTGTCTCTCTGACCTCCTGCTCTAGCTCCTTGAGAGGAGTTACTAATCTTTATATTGCTACACCAGACACAGTGCCTGGTACATAGTAGTTAAAAAATAAATGGGTGTTGCGTGAGTGAATGGAAGGTGTGGCCCTCAGAAGTAAGTGACTTGCCCATAGCCACGAACTGGAGCTGGACTTACATTTTCTGGGTAAATTCCCTGTTTGTTTTAATTAAGGCTTACTCTGGTGATTTGTTGTAGAAGGTATTAAGGCATATGTAGAAGGAGTGATCAGTAGATGAAATCTTAAGGGAACTCCTATATTTAAAGGGAATAAAAAGAAAAGTTCTAATAGTTTTAGTTAAGTATATTCATGAAATTCAGGTCATTCTCTCAGGAATATGATGAAGTCAGTGTACTGTGGGGTGCTTCTGAACCAGTTTAGTTGAAACTAAAATGTAAAAGCTAAAGCCTTCTTTGAAATCTAAAAGTCAAATATGCATTAATTTGTTTTTAGCATCCTTTTATATACTACACAGTATACTAGAATTTAAGCATTATATTTTGAGACATTTGGCCCCTTAGGCATTTTGTTATATGATATGTAAAAATGAACTTTTGCATTGTTGCTTGAAACGAGTACTTAAGTGGTTTCAAGATGAATTGATTTTATATAAAATAAACTTGATAAATATGCTTATTTTACACATACACCTTTATGACTTGATTTTTGTTACTCAACAATTTCTGAAAATCAACCACTTTTTGCCTAACTTGTTATCTTTTCCCGTCTCCACAACTAGAGCCGGACGGGCCGTCATGGAGGAGAAGCTGCCACACTCGCACTGTGAGAATTGTGTCAGTAGACGCTGTATGACCAGACCGGAGCCTGGGATTTCCTGTGACTTGATTGGTTGTCCGTTGGTGTGTGGAGCAGTTTTCCATTCTTGTAAAGCTGATGAGCATCGACTTTTATGTCCATTTGAACGTGTGCCTTGCTTAAATAGTGACTTTGGCTGTCCATTTACAATGGCTCGAAATAAAGTTGCTGAACATCTAGAAATGTGTCCAGCAAGTGTGGTGTGCTGTACTATGGAGTGGAACCGATGGCCAGTTAGTTATGCAGATCGGAAATCATATGAAAATCTAAGCAGAGATGTTGATGAAGTGGCACAATTAGATATGGCCTTGGCCCTTCAAGACCAAAGGATGCTCTTGGAATCGCTCAAAGTAGCCACCATGATGTCAAAAGCGACTGATAAAGTATCAGAACCTAGAGAACAGATCTCCGTTAAATCAAGTGTCCCAGAAATACCACATGCTAATGGTTTGGTGTCTGTTGATGAAGAATCTTATGGTGCACTTTATCAAGCTACGGTAGAAACAACCAGAAGTTTGGCTGCTGCTTTAGATATCCTGAGTACGGCCGCAAGAGACAGTGGCATGTTGAGTACAAGTCTTCACGCTTCCCCAGATGAAATGAATGAAGAGCAAGACACCAGAGGAAGCTTGCAGAATAGACCCTTGAAAGACCAGGACCATTTTTATGAGGATGAGATAGGAGCAGTAGGTGGAATTGACCATAATGACACAAGTCTGAATGTCCAGTCTGAACAAAATGGTTCAAGTGATTTATTGTGTGACTCGAACACCAGTTCTTACGGCACTTCTGCTCTTTGTAATGGCTTTTCTTTGGAAAATATAGGTACACAGGCCATAGACCCAAATCAGAAATTACATGGTGATTCAAAACAAAGGAACTTAACAAATGGAGAATGTATAGCATCAGATGGCACTTCACAACCTTCCGGTTCACTTTCAGTAGCAGCACAACTTAGGGAAGTAATACCATCTGGTGCTTTGCCTAATGGCACAGTTCAGCATATCCTTATGCCAGATGATGAGGATGAAGGAGCATTGTGTTGGAGAAAAGTAGACTTAGGGGACTTGAGGAATGTGGATGTCTTATCTTTCAGTCATCCTCCTTCATTCAAATTTCTTTCTAACTCATGTTGGTCTAAACCAAAAGAAGATAAAGCAGTAGATACATCAGATTTGGAAGTTGCAGAAGATCCAATGGGCCTCCAAGGAATAGATCTAATCACAGCAGCATTGCTATTTTGTCTAGGAGATTCTCCAGGTGGGAGGGGTATATCTGATAGTCGCATGGTTGATGTTTATCACATTGACTTTGGGACTCAGACTTTTTCACTTCCATCTGCAATATTAGCTACCAATACAATGGTTGGGGAAATAGCTTCAGCTTCAGCTTGTGATCATGCCAACCCACAGCTTTCAAATCCAAGTCCTTTTCAGACACTTGGGCTGGATTTAGTATTGGAATGTGTTGCTAGGTACCAACCCAAGCAGCGTTCAATGTTTACATTTGTTTGTGGGCAGTTATTTAGAAGAAAAGAATTTTCTTCACATTTTAAGAATGTGCATGGTGACATTCATGCTGGACTCAATGGCTGGATGGAACAGAGGTGTCCTTTAGCATATTATGGTTGTACCTATTCTCAGCGTAGATTTTGTCCATCAACACAAGGAGCAAAGATTATACATGACCGCCATTTGAGGTCCTTTGGAGTTCAGCCATGTGTCTCTACAGTATTAGTAGAGCCTGCTAGAAACTGTGTGTTGGGACTGCATAGTGACCATCTAAGTAGTCTTCCTTTTGAGGTCCTGCAACATATTGCAGGCTTTCTTGATGGCTTCAGTTTATGCCAGCTCTCATGTGTATCCCGGTTAATGAGGGATGTGTGTGGCAGCCTGCTTCAGTCTCGTGGAATGGTCATACTGCAGTGGGGAAAAAGGAAGTATCCAGAAGGAAATTCGTCATGGCAAATAAAAGAAAAGGTTAGTTTAATCTTAACTGTATCATCTCCTTATTTGACATACAGTAGACAATGTTGCAGAATTAATAAAACTAAGATCTTGTTGAAAAATTGACCATCTTAAAACTTAAACTTTAATCTGACAGACTTTTTAAAAATAATAACTAATGAAAAACTAGGTTAGAATTATTTGTCATAATCACATATTTATTACAGACATCCTAATTCTAATCTAATATGGCTGAGGTCACTTGTTTTTTCAGTTGAGCCGTTCTATACTCAGTTCTTCTGTAACAGCTCCTTTTGAGCCCATGTTAACCACCTTCCAATTTGAGCTCCATCTGAAACATTTTCACCATAGGACAATGGAGGAAGCAAGGAGAAGGTTTTCTGCTGCTTACAATTGGCAGTTTTTCTCCATTCCTAGCAACTTCTTTCTTAGTTATTTCAGGTAGAACTTAAATAGGGAGAAATGAGAAAAGTTATAACTGCTACTACTAGTAAGTGACCAGTGGAGTCTTTGGGGGCTAGAAAACATGATGGATGTGGAAATGTGTTAGGTCGAAGTGGGAGGAAAGAGTAGGGTACTTGGATTTGATATTGTTGGTGGGGGGCTCTGGGTTAGTACAGTACAAGAGAGTGTTGCATATTAGAGGCTTGAACTGGAGATTTAGGCAGATCCTGGAGCAAGTCTTGGGTCCACCATTTTTCTTTTGTGAAAATCTACTTTTTCACATTTTATTATGATTATGATTATTATATTTTTAAATAATCTCTACACCCAACATGGGGCTCGAACTCAAAACCCTGAGATCAAGAGTCACATGCTGTATTGACTGAGCCAGCCAGGCACCCCTAGTTTTGCCCATCTTCTGTTTGAGGTACTATCTAATAGAAACTAGAAGACATAAATATCTTTTATTGCAGGAGTTTTTCATATTAGAACACTTATAATATGACATTTTGCATTTTATAAAGTAGAAAAAATTTGGTAAATTTTACCTTGGTTGCACAGGATTCAAATTTCTGGATACTTTGTTCTTACCACCCTTAGGTTTTCTCTGACTTTTCCTCATTGCTCCAGTTTTTCAGAATTCTACATCTTCTGTGTTCTTCTGAGGCTTTGACCAACAAATGAACACACTATTTATTTTATGATTTTTTTTTTTCCAAATGGCAATTTTGGTGGCAGAAAGTTTCATCCTTGCTGTGTATATGTGTGTATACACATACAGAGGACTTGGTGTCTTTCTTCCATTTGGGATGGGATACTCTGAGCATCGTCTCATTTTGTCCTTGCCCACTAGTATTGACCTATGAGGTGAAGTATTCTCTGGGGATTCTGTTCCTGCAGAAAATCCTACCTACTCTTGGGAGTTTAAATCGCCATCATTTACACAGAGTACTCACACATCTGTATCCTGGCCGCTTTCTCCTGAACCCCAGAGCCTTGTATGTAAGCATCTCCACTTGATTATCTCACAGCTTCATCAAACTCAACGTGTCCAACCCATTCCACATCTTTATCCCTCTTTTTTTTTTAAGATTATTTTAGAGAGCTTGCATGCACAGTGGGGAGGGCCAGAGGGAGAGAGAGAATCTCCACACTGAGTGCGGAGCCTGTTGTGGAGCTCAGTTGCACCACCCTGAGATCATGACCTGAGCCGAAATCAAGAGTCGAATGGGCAACTGACCGAGCCACCCAGGTGCCCCTCTGTCCCTCTTAATCTCAGCAGGTGGCGGGGTGCCTCGGTGGCTTAGTCGGTTAAGTGTTTGCCTTTGGCTCATGTCATGATCTCCGGATGCTGGGATTGAGCCCTGTGTCAGGTACGTCAGGCTTCCTGCTCAGCGGGGAGTCTGCTTCTCTCTCTCTCTCTCTCTCCCCCCCGCCCCTCCCCCCTGCTTATTCTCTCTCTCTCTCAAATAAGTAAACAAAATCTTAAAAAGAGCTAGGAAAAAGCTTAATTAAAAAAAATCTCACAAGTGGCATTATCATCTATCAAATTGCCTAAACTAGGAATTTGGGAGTTAAGGTTGACTTCTTTTTTTCCCCTTTATTTCCATATCTTGGTAATCATAAAGTCCTCTTGAGTCTCCCTTCTTCATACCTCTCAGGTTTACTTTACTGTTTCCACCACCATTTACCTAGCTCTGTCCCCTTCAGCTCTCTCTCGGTTACCTAAGAGCGTAACTGGGTTTCTGTTCCTAATTGGGTCCCTCTCCATCATACTCTCTACGTAAGGACTAGAGTGATAAATATTTTCTTAAATACAGTTCTTACATTGTAGTGTTTAAAAACTGTAATGCTTGTTCATTGCTCTGGGACACAGAAAGACTCCTTAAAGAATCATTTAAGACTTTTTATAATCTTGTCCTTACTTACCTCCTCAGTTTCCTCTTGTCATTTTATATTCCAGCTATGTTGATTTACTTACAGTTTCCTGATGTTTTCTTTCTTGACTTCTTGCCTTAAGGCCTTCAAATGTGCTGTCCCTAATACAGTATCTGCATCTGAGCATTTGCAATATGCTAGACAGTGTGCTAATAATAATAAACATTTTACTTCTGTTTACCTATTTAATCTACTATCTCTATTTTATGGATGAGGAAACTGAAGTTTAGAGAGGTGAAGTAACTTGTCCAACTAATTGATGGATTCACACCTAGGGAACCTGTCTCTGGAGCATGCGATCTTCATCTTTTTGCTATATATCCTGCTCACTCTACAGATCTTCTTCAGGAGAGCCTCTGGAACCCCTCCCTGAAGCTTTCAGGGAGGTGTACTGCTCTGTGTTCGTGTGGTGCCCCATAATAGTCCCCTACTCTGTATACCCCTACTCTAGAGCACTCTCATGCTGTATTGTAATTCACTGATGAATTGCCAGTTTCATTAGACTGTCAGTTCCTTGAAAAGTGAGACTCTCTGGGAACCAAAACATCCACCGCCTAGAACAGCACTGCCATATCGTGGGCACTAAGTAAGAACTTGAGGAAGACTTCTGAATGAAAAATTGGCCCATTGCTAAGAAGCCTTGTGCAGGAGATGGGAATCACCCATTTTTTTCTGAGTTTGTTTCACCAGACTCTTGTGGAAATGGGGAGGCTGTCTGCCACCATTGAGTCTTTCATGAATTTGTTTTGCTGAGGCTTAACAAAATTCTTAATTCTTCTGTAGTTTTATAGGTATAGGTGATTGTAAGGGAGGCTAGTGATATCTGTAGTGTCTGTTGGTAGCTCCTCTAGACCTTCAGGGACTCCTGGGAAAGAACTCCCCAGGAGGCGTAATTGATACAACCCTAAGGAATATAGGGAGTAAGTACCCTTTGTGCTGAGCAGTGGTGATTTCTCTTGCCAGCTGAAAAGTAAAAGTGTTCTTCAGGGAATTTGAAGGCATTTAGCCACCTTGGAAGGCATCGCCCTCCTTTCCTGAGAAGCTCTAATGAGTGCTGAGGGCTCTCCTCCAATCCACAGCCACTTTCTAGAGTATCTGCTGTTTACTATGCATTCAGAGTGCTCTACCATTTTCCTGTTGATGAGCTTAGCTAGGATGCCTAGGCCTGATCTAGCCCATTCTTGCTTGTTACCTGGGTCTGTCCTCCATTCGTGCTTATTTCCTGTGTTCAGGTAGCTTTATATTTAGAATTGTGAAGGTGAGAAGGGGCCACAACTGTCCTTGCTGAGCTAATAAGATGACATTGTTTCAGGGCTTGGAGCTGCTGAGTGGGTAAAAGGGGAAGTAGCTCATATTTTTACCAACAGACGCATGAATAGGGATAGCAGGTGAATTTTTGCCTAGAAATGCATTTTACAATGATTTGGAATAAAGTAAGATTCATTTAACAAAAGTGTTTTATGTAAATTTTCAGAAGCATTTTTGACTAAATTAAGTACCTGTATTCATGAATATTACAGAGTTACCTTTGGTACTTACAAATAGTGGAATCATAAGGTACCTTGGCAAATATTAGTGTATTTTTTTAAAGATTTTATTTATTTATTTATGAGAGAGAGAGAGAGTGGGGGGCGGGAGCGTGAATAGGGTGAGGAGCAAAAGGAGAGGGAGAAGCAGAAACAGACTGTGGTGGGCAGGAATCCCAATGCAGGGCTTGATCCCAGGACCCTGGGATCATGACCTGAGCCGAAGGCAGTTGTTTATGTTTAACTGAACCACTCAGGCACCACATATTAGTGTATTTTTTAGTATACCTCATATAGTGTAATAGGAATGGAAGAAAAACTTGGGGAAAAAAATAACACATGTATCATCACTATCTCCAGACTCTGAATAGCTCTATATGGCCAATTGGATAAGATGAAAGAAGAGTGTGCAATATATTATTTTAGGAAGTACCTCTGAATTTACAAGGTTAATATTTTTAAAAAATTGCTTAGGGGTGCCTGGGTGGCTCAGTAGGTTAAGCGTCTGACTTTGGCTCTGCGTGCTCAGCTGGGAGGTCTGCTTGAGATTCTCTCTCTCCCTTTCCCCTTCCCTCCACTCTCACGTACTCTCTCTCTCTCTCAAATAAAATCTTCTAAAAAATTGCTTAATAAGCCAAGTTGGATGTAGTTTTTAATGTTGAATTTTGCTTTTTATTTCTTTTTGGTTACTGCAAATGCAGTAACCAAATGAAGTTCAAACGTCATAGAAGTGATTTTTCCTACAAGTATTTAATAAACAGATCTGCCTCCAAATGGATTTACTCCTTTTCAGTTTTGTAGCTAACTGCTTGGAACTTTATATTGGATATTTCTCTAACAGTAGAAATGTTTGCAGTTGGAATAAGAAGTGTATTTTGATTCTTATAAATTGACTTGTTTAAATCTGAAATAGAATTTTCTTTTAGGTGTGGCGATTCAGTACTGCATTTTGTTCTGTTAATGAATGGAAATTTGCTGACATCCTAAGCATGGCTGACCACTTGAAGAAATGCAGTTACAATATTGTAGAGAAACGGGAGGAAGCAATCCCGTTACCATGTATGTGCGTGACACGAGAACTCACTAAAGAGGGACGTTCACTTCGCTCAGTTTTAAAACCTGTACTTTAAAAACTGTCACTCCACTTGCGCATACATGCAGACACCTAGTATAATTTCTTTGTAATATGTGATACTTTATTAATGTATTAAAGATTACAACTAGCTAAATTTATTGCCACTATGTATATAATGTTTTGAAGTGACATATATTTTTATAAAGTACTGTTTAGTTGGAAAAAAGTTGCCTTAATGTTTGAAATGTGTGAAATTTTTGGAACTTGCTGGACAGGGTGATTTAATTTTTAGCTGCATAATTTTCAGAATTAGTATTTTTAATGGTGTGCATATTTTTTGGTTTTTACATTTTTTGTTTCTTAGTTTAACAAGATCCTGACCAAACAGTTTGTCCCTCCTGTTTTCTGTGGGTTATAGCCCATGCATTCAGAAAGCAAAACTTTGATTCAAATTTTTGCAGCATAGGTTTTTCAGATAAAGACATTCAATTGCTTAAGGACTGCCATAAGATCATTATAAGATTTTTATTTTCTAGTGCTCCCCTTACACGATCGTGGATACACAGATGATCTTTACTGTATATTTACATAATATTTAAAATCATGACTAGTGTTTGGTAATGCATTTATCATGTTTTAAAAATACCCACAAAAGTGTTTTCACCTTATGTATTTGCAACTCTCATACAGAGAGTGACCATGTGCAACTTCCTTTTTTCTTAGACACCACATCCAAAGACTCACGGCAACGTGTTTTATGACAGGTTAAAATGAAAACCAACAAAAAGCTTGTGAATTTATTTTAATTTGATACTGTTCATGGTATGATATATTTGCTAGGCTTTTGATATTTGGAAAGAAGAAAATATACCTCATTTAAAGTTCAGATTGGGCATATTGTGTGAATAAATTTCAAATATTCGGAATGCAGAGGGCTTAACTTTCTTTCTTAAGCCTTTAGAATTTTTGCCTTTGTATGTTTATAAAAATCACAACTATATTGTTTTAAGATACTTAACAATGTGAAATTTGGTATCTTTGTAAGATGACAATCATGAAATGGAGAAGCCTGTCTTGGTTGACAATCTCCTTAAAACATTTCCAGGTTTATTTCCCATAGACTTCTCTACCAAAATAGTAAGAATTGTATCTTTGTGTAAAGATCAAGGTATAAGAGAAAAATATGCAAAGTCCTATTCTTGAAGTATTTAGTTGTAGTTTTCAAATTGATTTACACTATTATTAACGTGATGTGGTCAATTAAAAAAATGAATATATCAGTATTTAGAAATAAGTTGCAAAGATGGGGAATACTTAAATAATTTGTTTTAAGTAACTTCTGGTATTTGGTAGTCTGAAGTGGTGACAAGTTATTTTGCTATAAAATATCAAACTTCTATTGTGTCTTCTCTTCCTACATTGGTCCCTGAGAGTGCTCTGTTGTTTCTAGGGTAACAATACTATGGCAGTTGGACTGGGCAGAGATGTTCCTTGGGCATTAGAAAAGAACTCTGAACTGCTTCCGGCTTCTTTTGGTTGGATCAGGCCCTTATTACAGTTGAAAATACAGCATTAAAGACTAATCAATTGTTTTGCCTCACCTGTCATTTCAGTTCGTAGAATAGTTATTTCTCAGTGCTTAAACTTTCAACTGTGAGGTTGAATTATATAAATAGTCTGTTTCTGAAAAAGTTAGAAATAAGATTGAATACTGTAAAATATAACTGCCTTTTAAAGTTTTGCTGAAGAATGTGTCTGGTTAGGATAGCACAAACATTAACTTTTTGTTTTATGGTTGTGCTTGTTTGGTTTTTAAGTTTAGACTTGTTTTTACACTGGATCAGATATTTAACAGTTTTCCACCTTATATTTCTTTTACATATCTTTGGCTGTTTTTTGTTTGTTATGCCACCATACAATTTTGTTAAAATGTTTTCTTTGTGCAACATTTGTTCAAATTCTAATAAAATTAATATTTTCCCTTTATGTGGCTCAGTAACTTAAAAGGAAAAACTTTCATTTAAATAAAATTTTAATACTTGACAAATTCCAAACACAGTGTTTCTAAGTGTAGATTTTCTGCATGTCGTAGTTGTTTGTTGATTATCATTGTTCACCCATGTTTTACTGGTGAGCGTTCATTTTTTTTTTTTTTTTTTTTTAATATGGAAAACTCATTAGCTAACTTCTGTGCCCCTTCAGTGTCTTCCTGAAAGTAGTCCCATCTAGGGGTATTGTAAGGCTGAAGAGTTCCTGGCATTATTGTTTTAGTAAAACTTGTCATGGGAACAATCTGTCTAGCCTTTTAAGCGTGAAAAGGTTTGTATGTCAGTTAATTGTCATTTGAGAAGTCTTTGTTGATTTCTTAGTTTTTTGTTTTTTGTTTGTTTTGTTTTAAAGATTTTATTTATTTATTTGACAGAGACACAGCGAGAGAGGGAACACAAGCAGGGGGAATGGGAGAGGGAGAAGCAGGCTTCCCGCGGAGCAGGGAGCCCGATGCGGAGCTCCATCCCAGGACCCTGGGATCATGACCTGAGCCGAAGGCGGACGCTTAACGACTGAGCCACCCAGGCGCCCCTGTTTTTTTTTTTTAAGGTTTTGTTTATTCATTTGGGAGAAAGAGAGCAGAGAGTGAGAGGGAGAAGCAAGACTCCCAGCCGAGCAGAGAGCCTGATGCAGTGCTTGATCCCAAGACCCTGACTCAACCAACTGAGCCACCCAGGTGCCCCATGATTTCTTAGTTTTTTCTAACCAGCAAGATAAAGGGAAAGTATCAGGTTGGAAGAAAATATCTGTATTCACTTTTATCTCCTGCCTCCTTTGCCAGAACTGCATGTCTTTTTCTCATTCTCTCTTGAGAGTGTACTCTTGCCCGCTTGCTCGCTCCCTCTCTTTTCATTAATAACTACAGTGTCACCTTTTATATAATTATCTCCCTCTCTCTTTCTCCCTCTCTCTCTCTCTCTCTGCAGTTGCCTTTTGAGACTCACAGATCACTTACAGTAGAGGTTCCTAAAATGTGGTCCCTGAGCCAGTAACATCAGCATCACCCGGAAATTTGTTAGAAATGCAGATTCTTGGGTCTCTCTGTAGACTTAACCAGGAACTCTGGGGTGGAAACCCAGCAGTCTGCTTTAACAAAGGCCTTCAGGGGATTCCGAGGCACAGTAAAGTATGAGAACTTAGAGAAGAGCCTGTCTCTGAATGATGTGGTATTGGAGTGGGTATGTGTGTGTATATACACACATGTATAATCCAAAATTAAGAGTAATGGTGATTTGTTGTTAATGGTTAAGTTGATTGATGTATGTTGTCTCAGTCTTATAGCTATATGACAAAATATATTGGGTACCATGGTGGTTGGACATTTTTTTAAAAACTAGTATTTACTAGTATTTAAAATTTACTGTTATTACTGGTATTTCACTTGTATTTCTTCTGTTCAAAGTAAATTGCAGTGCAACTTACAGTTCATTAGCATTAACCTTTAGACTAACCATCATTCATTCTCTTGTTCGGTGGTTGTGGAATCAGGTGAACATACTAGATTTCTAGGATAAAAAGAGTAGAAGTAGGGGCGCCTGGGTGGCTCAATCGTTAAGCGTCTGCCTTCAGCTCAGGTCATGATCCCAGGGTCCTGGGATCGAGCCCTGCATCGGGCTCCCTGCTCCGCGGGAAGCCTGCTTCTCCCTCTCCCACTCCCCCTGCTTGTGTTCCCTCTCTCGCTGTGTCTTCTCTCTGTCAAATAAATAAATAAAATCTTAAAAAAAAAAAAGTAGAAGTAGACAAATACTGGGTTAAATCCTACAAAAATATTTGTAGGAATCCTTTCAACCCTATCATTAGGAGATATTAAAGGTTGAGTTTCTGGTTTATCAGAAGTATAGAATCTTTTTTGGTCTTTGACCCTGTGCTACATATCCCATCAGTGTAGTTGTTATTATTAACTATCCCCTGACAATGGATATTGGGATCTTAGCAACTTTGAAGATAATGAGGTTTTCAACAAAAATTTCCATATCCCTTGAAAATATGGTAGCTTATATTACTATATTGATAACATATTGTTAACCTCTAGCAATCTAAATGTAAGTTTTGGCATTTAGAAGCAAAATATATTTCATATGTTGCATCCCAACCTAAAAAGACATAGGATTTATTAATTTTAAAAATTTTCTAAGGAATAGTTATGCAAACATTAAAAAATGTGTTTAATGCATGACATACCATATTAGAAGGTGATGTGATTGGGACCTCTAGAGGTGGATGTTCAGAATTGCAGTAGAAGAAAGCAATTGACCTTCATTCTCAGTAGACTGGGCAAAGTCTTTTATGGAAAGAATTTCACTGATAGGTGTTTGGTTGTCTACTGCTCTCAGTAGTTTTACTTAACATGCTCATGAGGCCTAAAAGGTAAGAGAATATTAGTTATCCCTTTAAAGAAAATTAACTCAACAATGACTTACCCATTGTATTTAATGTAATTCAGTGATGGGTTTAGTTAGGATTTGATCTAAATCTGAATTCCAAATAAAGTTTTGAGGTGTGTAAGTAAAGACCAACTTTAGTAAACTTCTTTCTAAATAAAATGAAGAGGACGGATGGTTTCTTTCTAATGTTACCTTTATGTAATTATTTTCTTTGATTTAAAAGAGCAAAGTAAGTTCAAAAGATAAATCCTTTCAAGTTTCTATTTTAATGATGAAAAAACAGAGGTACTCAACATTGAGGTACTGATGACTGGGGTATTTCAGAGAAATGTATCCTGACATGGTTCACTTTTCTACTTTACTAATGCAGAAAGAGAAGGGACAGGGTGCCTGGGTGGCTCAGTTGGTTAAGCGACTGCCTTCGGCTCAGGTCATGATCCGGGAGTCCCTGGATCGAGTCCCGCATCAGCATCCCTGCTTGGCAGGGAGTCTGCTTCGCCCTCTGACCCTTCCCCTCTGATGTGCTCTCTCTCTCAAATAATAAATAAAATCTTTAATTAAAAAAAAAAAGGAAGGGACAGTTAGATATAAGGAAATTACTTTGGAAAATATTGTTGCCTACAATACTTGATTCCCAATATGTGTTTTGGAAAGAAATATTGGGTAATACCAAGAGGGAAAAAAGTAGAAATAAATGAAGTACGGGTGTTGGTCTGAAAGTCCTTTGCAAAAACTAGGTCTTTTGCTGAGTTTTTACAAGTATTCTTTTGTATCTGTGATTGATAAAGTTCTATAAATTTATTGTTTATACATATATTTATTTGCATGATTAATCTCCATAAATTGGCCAAGTAGATTTTAATACATCTTGGGATATATTAATGGAGATACATCTTGAGGTGCTTTTTTTTTTTTTTTTTACCTTAGAACATTACAAAACTGACATTTTGTATTCAGAATGCTTGACATTGAAATGTGTTATTTGGGGAGTGACTTTTCATTAATTTAATAACTACGAAGAAATGGGTTATCAAGATGCTTCATGAATGTGCTCTATAGAAATACAGTAAAAAGTCATTGATATGAATCTCCTGTTTTATTTTTTTTTCTTTTTGACATGCTGGTCTGAGTATTGTTTACTATGAAGAAAAACATTTCTGAAGCAAACTGACAACATAAGTATGTTTCTTTTCACTAACATCAAAGTTTTTAAGCATCCCCCAAATCATTTTATTAATCTATTTGCATGCAAGTATTGTGATAGGAAATGGTTCTACAATACATAGCTAGTTCTAGCAGTGGTAAATATTGTGTGTTTGAAAGTAATAAAACTGCATTTCTGTTGAATTCTTAAGACTGACCAACTCATCAAGTCAAATTATCCTTTCCCAGGACAGGCAAATTCATCAGGTTTAATTTTTATGTTTTTCTAATATAAATTGCTAGAATTATTTTTTTTCTCAGACAAGATCCTTAGATAAATAGGTCGATGTATGTGTTGGCTCATTCTTTGGCAAAAGAACTGACTGGAGTTAGAGAGCTTTCCATACCCCTTTCAGTCAAAGAGTAACATTACTTGTTGTATTATCATTGATTGATCTAATATAAAAGCAGTAGCAATAATGTGTTACTGCTCAAAAGATTGAAGTTGGAGATATGAGATCCTGCCCTTTGCTGTCCTGGAATTTTCTTTTCATTGAAATCCTCTTTTCAATGTTAATTGTCATTACTGCTTTGTTAGGCTATGACTTCAATTTTCTGACTTGGTGATCAAAACAACCTAGATAAAGTACATAGAGTTTTTAAAAACTTGTTCTAATCAGCATATGTTTAGTAGTTTTGGTCAGTAAGTTTAGATTTGATTAAATAACATATTCAGCTTCTTTTAAAGTCTCAGCTCACAAATTTGTAGATTAAAAAATTGAAGTATCAGCATTCAGGTTTAACTACATTATTTGATTAAAAGAAATCAAACCATTGAAATGGAAATGATCATACGTATAACATCTGTTCCAGAGTAGAATTGCCCAGTGAATAATTATGTCCAGTGGGTGTCTTTTATATCAATTGGTAACTTTAAAAACTATGACTTATATTAGAGATTTGAAATAGAGAATGGTATTGATTCCCTGCAACATTCCAATAGCTTTGTGATAAAAACGCTGACTTAAGAAATAAATTGCTTTGAATGGTTAATAATTCAGTGGAAATGAATTCTTAAGATTTTTGTGCTGCATATAAAATGTTAAAGTTGTATCGTTCATTTTGATCAGTGTTTAAGCACCAATCAGTCCTAAAAACTTGAATGCATTCTGAAAGGTAATTGCACTGACTCATTCACTTACCTCAGATGTCATTTAGATTCCAATATATCTTTTTTCCATGATTTACATTAATAGTTAGTTTTTCCTTAGATGCTAAGGGATATGGTATTTCTTGAAAAATATGCTAAGTGAAAGAAGCTAGATACAAAAGCCCACAAATTGTGATTCCATTTGTGTGAAATATCCAGAATAGGTAAATCCGTTGAGACAGGAATCAGATTAATGGTTGCTAGGGGCTGGCAGGGAGGAGTGGGGATAGTGGGAAGTGACTGCTTAATGAGTATTGGTTTTGTTTTAGTGATGAAAATATTCTAGAACAAGATAGTGTTGATTATACAACATTGTGAATGTACTAAATGTCACTGAATTGTACACTTTAAAATGGTAAGTTTTATGTTCTATGTATTTAACCACAGTTATAAAGTGGGAGTAATTTGCAGTTATTACCAAAGCCAAAAAGTACCTTGTTCTCAAAGTTTGTGAAATGCTCAAATTAACGGTTTAGAATGAATTTACAGCATTAGTAATGTGACAGATTTATTCAGGTTAGGGTCCTAATGAAATTCATGAATCCCATCACAGAAGTACTGCTAACAGCAGCAGAAATAAAGTTGTAATTCATCACTATTTCTTTATTTTAATACAATTTGGACAGTGAGCAATTGGCTTCCTTGTCAATGTTCATATTTCATCTTTTACCTTTTCTTATGATTCCTTGGGGGAACATCTTAATCACATTTTTTAAAGGTCTGTTTTTAAAATCGTGCTTTGAAAAAACAATTTGTATAATTTTCAGGATCATTTTTTATAGTTTTATACTTCGTGTTCCTTTTAAAGAGCAAATACAGTGATGTATTACGTAAGACCAAATTAATAAATTGAACCATTATATACATTTTGTATTCTTTTGTATTATCTCATGGGGAAAACATTTGAATCTTGGGATTGGTAGGAACTTTAATGATCATTTAGTGCCTCATTTCTATTTGGAGAAATCAAAGCAGAGTTTGTCACTGTGTGTAGTTCATTCAGCAAGTATTTATTGAGCACTCATCTCAGGCAAGTGGAGGCTTGATTCTGGAAGGTTGTGACATGCCTCAGGCTACACAGGGAATTGCTACTTCCTTTCTCCTCATCTTTCTCCACCTGCCCTTCCTACTCCTAAAATCTAGTAACTATGCCAGATACATGGACAAATGGAGAAGTTCCAGAGAAGGAAATGGCTTTAGGCAGAGATTCACTTTAAATGGTTCTTCGCATAAATCTTCCCCAAACACTTTAAAGAGATGTTCTTTAGTGAGGTCAAATACACATGATCATGAATAATCTATTACTTACAGAACACAATTATTAACAAATTTGCCTTCATGACTTTGGGAAGAAGTATTTCCGTATTACTTTAAACCAGTTTTTTTCCACTGTTTTCTAAGGAGTGACTTTAGAAAACTACTGATTGCATTCTTTGTTTAAAAAAGTTAAATTGCGGGGTGCCTGGGTGGCTCAGTCGGTTAAGCGTCTGCCTTCAGCTCAGGTCATGATCCCGGAGTCCTGGGATCGAGCCCCACATCGGGCTCCTGGCTCGGCGGGGAGCCTGCTTCTCCCTCTCCCTCTGCCTCTCTCCCTGCTCATGCTCTCTCTCTGTCTCTGTATCTCTGTGTCTCAAATGAATAAATAAAATCTTAAAAAAAAAAAAAGTTAAATTGCTTTGCAAATACCTGTACCTCTGATATGATTGGGGGTACATATACCACTTAAGGTATGTACATGCTCCAATTTAAACAAGTATAATTAAATTAACCAAATGAGGGGCGCCTGGGTGGCTCAGTCGGTTAAGCATCAGACTCTTGATTTTGGCTCAGGTCATGATCTCCTGGGTGGTGGGATGCTAGTCTAGTCTAGTCAGCCTCCACGCTCAGTGGGGAGTCTGCTTCTATTCTCCCTCTTCCTCTGCCCCTCTGCACACATGCTCTCTCTCTTAAATAAATAAATAAATCATAAAAAGAAAACTTTATAAATTGACTGAGGCTGATGGTGTGAACTAAACTATCAGAATAAACAGCAGGTGAGGAGACTTGCATTACAATAGCTTTACTCACTGCAGCATGGTCTGAAGTCAAAGAGAATGGGAGGAAGTAAAATAATTGCAGTAATTCATACCGTAACAAGATTGTTGTGATTTTTCACTTGATGATTTCTCATTAATTTTATGGTATTTCTATAATAGTTGGGATTTATAACCAAATACATTATTTGACCCATATTTCCTTAATCATCACTTCTTCCATCCCCTTGGAGGCTACATCTCTGCACTATTTCCCAAACACATTATATACTTTCATGTCTCTCAGCCTTTACTTATGCCTTTCCTTTGTCTAGAATGCCCTCCCCCCAACTTCTTTGTCTGGTAAAACTTCGGTTCATTGTTGAGGATCCAATTCTGATGTCACCTGTTTCTTCCTAGACCATTCCAATCCATTGAGTCACTCTTGTCTATGACCTCCCCTGCTTTTTTTGCTTCAATCTTCTTTTCAGTATTTATCACACTGCGCTGCTATTACCTATTTGCTGGTATTTGTACACTTGTATTTTGTGGATCCCTCTAGGAAGAAACTATGTCTTACTTGGCTTTGGATCCCTGTGCTTAGCAGAGGGCCTTACACACATAGATGCCTGTTGAACTAATCATGAACAATGATTGAATAATTTTTAATGCTGTTCCGGTTAGCTTTTGCTATACAACATGGCACCCCAAAATTTCATGGCTTGAAACATGTTTAATTAGCTCATGATTAGTTGGTTGGGCTATTCTCATCTGGCTTGACTTGGCTTGGTTGGCTCACACATCCATGGTCAGCTGATGGGTCAGCTGGAGGTTAGATGATCTAACAGAGCCTTACTAACATGTCTGGCAGTTGGCGATCTTTGGCTGGTGTAATGGGGATGATTAGGCTACATGTCTCTCATCATCTATCAGGCTAATCCAGGCTTATTTACATGGAATAGCTAGAACAGCAAGAGAGTAAGTCCCAATGTGCAAGCCCACTCCAAGTCACTGCTTGCCATATTTGTTAATGTCCCATTTTCCAAAGCAGTTATATGTCCCAGTCCAGATTCAAGGAATGGAGAAATAGACTCTACTTCAATGGGCGAAGTGGCAAAGTCATGTTGCAAATGAGTGTGTGTATGGGAATGGGGAGAATCGTGCCCATTTTAGTCTACCACAAATGCTTAGGAAACTTCCAAAATTTGGTAGCCCCTCCTTCTCTCTTTAGATTTTTCTTATAAAAACCCTTGAATATTTAAAACTAGGGACAATTAAAAATCAAAATTATCCTCTGCTCTTTTTCTTTCTTTTTTGCAAACCAGAGAGAGTAAGAAAGTATTGAATTTTGTTCTTCAGCAAAATTTCAGAATTTCTTGAGAGTGATGGAGTCAGAATAAAAGAATCACCTTCTTGAAAGGCCTCTATGTTTCACTCCTCTGGGCTCAAGGGAGGACCAGGAAGTTATCAAATCCTATAATTTCCCCATACTGGTCCACTGTGTTGCAGAAATAGTGGCAAGGTTTTCTCTCAAGGATGCTGGAGTAGTATGGGCTAAACATAGAAGGCATAAAGAAAAGATACCAGAACTGGAGAGTGGAGAAAAGTTCGGGAAACTTTGGGGTCCAGAGTACCAGAATGGTACCCGAGATCTGGGGAGGAGAGAAAAGGTTGTTTTGAGAAATGTTAATGTAGCTTATGTTGTGGAATTTGTTGATGTTCTTTGGCAGAGACAAAGTGTGGAATTCATATTCTAAAAACTCTTTGACTCATGAATCATGCTTCCTTGAATGTAACTCAGTGTAATGACTGAGCCACATAGAACACCCATTACGTTCAGTTTACAAAATTAGAATAATAGCCCTGAAGATATAACGTTGATAAATTAGTAGGCTTCAGAAGTATGTTATGAGTTGGGGAATTTATGACCGAAATTCATGTGTGGGGCTAATTCTGAGTAACAGTGCAGTTGGGGCTGGAGGAGACTTCATTCCTGAGGGCTGCCTTAGCAGCTGCAAGTGGTGGAAGACCATGTGTTGTGGGAGCAGGGACAAGCTCTCCTTTGCCCAGGGGAGTTGTGCTAGGAAAGGGACTCCTTATCACACTTGTGTTTACAGGATTTGCAGTCATGGCCCATCTTGCATGGCGGATATTAGTAATTTGTGTATCCTTTTTTTGTTTTTCTTTACCACTTTTGACAGGAGATTATGAATTTATTAATTTTTTCAAAGAACCAACTTTGTCTTTCTTAATTTTCTCCCTTGTTTGTTACATGAGACTGACTTTTGCCTCTTCTCTTTATTTCCTTTGTTTCTACCTTGTGTTTAATTTGCTCTTTTTGCCCTTTTTTAAAAAAGATTTATTTATTTATTCATTTATTTATTTGAGAGAGAGAGAGCACGTGCACGCATATGCAAGTGGGGGAGAGGGGCAGAAGGAAAGAACCTTCGAGCAGACTCCCTGCTGAGTGCGGAGCCTGACTTGGGACTTGCCAGATCCCATGGCCCTGAGATCATGACCTGAGTCAAAAGCAACAGTTGGATGCTTAACTGACTGAGCCACCCAGGTGCCTCTAATTTGCTCTTTATTTCCCAGCTTCTTAGTGTGGAAACTTAGATCATTGATTTTAAGTCTTTTTTCTTTTGTAATATAGGCATCGAAAGATAGTAAATTCCCTCAAATCACTGCTTCAGTTGCATCCCACAAATTTTGATGTTATTTCATTATTATTTAGTTCAAAATACTTTTCGACTTCTCCTTTGATTCCTTCTTTTATTTATTTAGAAGTATGTCATTAAATTTCCAAATCGGGGAATTTTATAGATAATAGTTGTCACTGATTTTCTAATTCCATTGTGTTCAGATTTCAAAATTTTGAAATTTATCATGGCTTTTATTTTACAACCCAGCACATGGCCAATGTTGATGACAATCCATGTGCACTTGGACAGAATGTGTATTCTGCAGTTTGGGCTGTAGCAGTGGGTAAATATCATGCAGATGTTATATTTTCTTACTGATCTCTTTTAGCACTTGCTCTATTAGTGATTGAGAGAGGGGCATTTAAATCTCTGACTGTGACTGTGGATTTATTTCTGTTTTCCGTTCTGTCAGTTTTTGCTTCAGGTATTTTGAAGCTCATCATAGGTGTATACTTTTTTATTATTGTGTCTTCTGATAAATTGACCCTTTTACCTTAATGAAATGTTATGCTTGATCTCTGGTAAAAGATAGCCTATGGAAAGGAAACTCTATGGAAAATAAAAATAGGAGAAAGAAGAAACAGGAAGGAGGGGATGAGAGATTTTGTAATTAAAAAAAAAATGATCAGAGTAAGCCTCCTTAAGAAGACAACATTTGAGCAAAGACTTGAGGAAATGAGCAGAGTGGCTATCTAGGGGAAGAGTGTCCCAGGCAGGTGGTATCGGCAAGGACAGATGCCCCCGAGACCAGTGTGCTAAATAGCTTCAAGGAAGGGCAAGAAAGCCAGTGTGGCTGGGGAGGAGTGAGTGGTGGGGAAATAGCAGGATAGACAAAGAGAGAGGTAATGGTGAATAAGGAAAGGGTTAAGGTATAGGCAGGGAGAGGTGGGGGGGTGGGGGGCCCTGGCTGGGCTCTGAAACTATTCCTGGCAGGCAGAAGCACTAAGATGGAGTGAACAAGAGATAAGAGACTAGGCCTCCTGGCCCCCGATGTGAGGGAGTATTTTTCTTTGGCGGCTACACTGTAATCACAGAAAATGACCAGACCTCAAATAAGTAAGTCATTAAGGATGTTATCAATAGTCCTTGCTCAAACCAAGACGGCCCAAGAATCTCAAGGCCACAAGCTTCCTGGTCAAGTTTTCAATAAAA